TTTGAAATTAGATAAATAGTGTAATTAAAGACAACTTAATTATGATAATTAAAACATATCTTAGACAACAATTAATACATATCTTTGGAGGGAAAAAAGCTTCTAAACCATTAATATATATATATAGATTTTGAAGTCTAGTCTCAACCTATCCAAGATATTTTTAATTTCATCTTACAATACCTCAAAGTTTGTAAAAATATCATAAAGTTTTATTAAAAATATTGGATGAATGTTACGGAGATCCCATCGTGGGATTTTTATGAAAAATTTCGATCAAAATGCATTTTTAGGAATCCATAGTTAGTTTGTTATCTACCGAGCATCTACGGGACAACTTCATTGTAGGTGACATGAGTTTTTCAGCTGTCCGGAGCGGTTTTGACAACTAAAAACTTCACCTGCATATTTTCGGCGATTGAGAAATCAATTGAAGATTGGAAGACCTTTGTATTCCCTAACACTGTGGTTTTGTATGCATATTTATTCATAAAAATTCAATAGTGGGATCTCTGATAGCCAGGGACGGATCCAAAAATTAAGAGTAGACTGTGTTATAATTTTAAAAACTCATTTTTTTTTCAAATATTCACTGAGGTTGTGCTCGATGAGCTCTAAAAAAAAAAAAAAATCATTATGCTCATTTTGCACCATATATATTTGATGTGTTTTCACTAGTTTGACTGTTTTTCTAAAGAACGATGAATTGGTCGAAGGTTGATACTTCATGTGAATTTCTAAAAACTCCACAATACAAATAAATAGATATTTTATATAGCATAGTTATTAGCAAAATGAAATGCCTAGACATTAAAAGTTTTTATCCAACTATGATATACAATAACCACACTAGATGAAAAAAAAAAAAAAAAAAAAAAAAAAAAAAAAAAAAAAAAAACTTACATACACACACACATAATACTCCATACATAATCAACAAAACAAGAATTGCAACGAAATGATTATAGCAACTACTATTAGAACCCTAAATTGCTAAACTAAAATGAAAAGATAAATAAAAACAATTAAAAAAATGAAACAAATATCTAATAGGGGGTTTAAAAATATAACTTAATATTAAAGAAGAAATTAAATCGTCTTCTTGAAAGTAATCCTTTTCTTGTTGAATAGATTTTTTTTTTTCTTATCTATATTTAGTGTTCTGGTGTGTTTTGAGAAGGGACACGACCGTGGCTAATTTATTTAATTAGAATTTGGTGTACAGTGGTGTTTTGTGCATTATTGCTTAGAGAAAATGATGAATCAGTAGTATATAATATTTTTATTTGAATGGTGTTAATACTAAAACTGAATTTAACTAGAATCAAAGGGTCAATAATGGGTAGTATTTGGGGGTAGTTTGCTCTTAGATAAATACAAAGTTTAATTTTGTAACAAACCTGAATTTTTTTTTAATAAAATGAATAATAAAAATAAAATAATCATATCCACACTCCGGCGAATCTCAACCATCGGTCACCGGAAACCCAATCCCGTGCCGTTTAGTCGGAAAAACAACAAACAACATGCTACAAACCACCCCAATCCCGATCGGCAATGCCGTGAGCACTTCCTTAGTCCCAGCCGATGGCTCCGGGTAAAAACACCTCACCACATTCTCGTCAAAAAGCGCGATCGCCCCGAACACAAATATCGACATCAAAGCATGCACAACATCTATAAATTTCACCCGGTACTTAGCGGCTGTCTCGGGAGGCAGAGTAGCCGAGCCGTCAATGATCCAAAGCCCACGTAAAGTGGCGAAACCGTACACAACATTTCCCTTTTGGTCCTTGAAGCTGTCGGTGAAGCTAAATAGGATAACCGAAAGCCCACAAAGGCCCATGAGCCCGGCTGTTAGGGCCCGACCCACCGGGTCGCATTCCCCTTGGTTGGAGAATATGGGTGAGAGGAGTTGGAAAGCAAGTACCGATCCCGTGGGGAGGAGGTTAGCTAAATGGGCGGTGCTTTGGAAAGTTTGGCTGATTGCTTGCTGGACAAGGCTCCTCTCGACTTCCGGAAGGTTCTTGTTGACGAGCAATGGGGTCGTTTCGAGTTCGTGTTCTTGTTCGTGGGTTTCTTTGGGCTGCCCGTTTTCGACATTGATCTCCATTTTTCGGTTGTGTTTTTTTTTTTTTTTTTGATGGTCTTTTTTTTTGTGAAGGATGATGATGTATTTATATAGGTGACATGGGTTTTGAGTGGAAGGGAAGGCAGTTGGATAATTGGATTTCGCTTGTTTTTTTGTCTTGCAAGAAAGATAAAAGATTTTAGGGAAATGTTATGGTCTCGTTACGGTATCATTTCGTCAGGTGTTTTAACCGTTGGATCATATATCTTATACTAACTACACGTGTATAGTATCTTGAACTGCGTTTTCAGTTTGAAAACGGAACTTTTAGCTTTTGAGTAAGGTTTTGCCAACTATTTTTGAGTTTGCGCACGACAAAAATGGTTACTGAATTTTTTGGATTTTTACTTTCTGTTGGTAAGGAAAAGCGTGGTGGGACGTCACTTAAAACGGTTAAGCTATGTTGCTGAGACGCAAAGGTTTTATTAATATAAGCGTGGAATTTGGAGTTGTGGTGGTTTTTTCTCGTTTTTTTTTTTTGGGATGGTTTTGGCTCTTTTTAACTGATCATTTGTTCATCTTTTTTTTATGTTTTTGTTCTTGTGGCAATTTCAAGGACCACAATGTATTAGGAAAACGAGTCCAAAGGGACATGATGATGGTTAATGTAATGGTTATCTGATTTTGTGTAATTTTGATGCTTAAGTGTAGTCTTCTACATAAGCAATTGAAGTTGAAGCATCTGAGTTGGGCGGTTTTTCTATGGAGCATGCGGATTGTTTTCCTTACGGAGCCATTCGCCTATGTGGCCCCGATGTGGCATAAATTGTTCATTAAAATACAACACATGTGGCATTTATTATTATTTTACATAAATCAAGCAAAAAAAAAAAGATTTGATCCACGGTGTTTGTCCCATTTTTGTTGTGTTTTTCGTGTTTATTTTATCTTTCTTTTTCCTCCGTTTAGGTTGTTTCTTTAGTTTTTAGCCCGTTTCATGTTTTATTATGTGTTTTCCTTCATGTTGAGTCATTAGGTGTTTTTTGTTTGTTTTTTCGGTTTTCTTTTGTGTTTTGTCGTTTTTGGTGTGTAGGTCGAAAGATTCGGGCGAATTTTCTCTTCAGGAAAAGTTGGTTTCGAGAGCATAACTGGATAGAGGGGTTCGTTAGCGACGCATAGGAAAAAACAGAAATCAATTCCGAGTTCGGACGAGCTCAAATGAGGCGAAAACGCAAAATGGCGCAGTGCAGCCCAGAATCTCGCGAGTCGCGAGTTTTAGTCGCGACTCGCGAGAGAAAAGTCGCGACTCGCGACTTTAACAGAGCCTCAGCATCCCAGCGACCCGTCCAACTCGCGACTCGCAAGTCAACTCGCGAGTCGCGACCCTGTCGACCCCTGTTTTTATTTTTGCTCGTTTTTACTCGTTTTAGCTCCGTTTTTCGTGCACTATATATGAAAACGAACCTCCAGACCTAAGGAACAACCATCAATATCGTTCCTTTCAAGTTTCCTCACCAAAAACTCAATATTGTTAGGATAATTTTCTCCGCTTTTCTTTTTATTTTCTCATGCTTGGATTGTTGGACACAAAGACATTTGGATTGAAATCTTTCAAGTCTTAATACGATTGTAAGTTTTTCAATTCTATTTTATTATTGTTGATTGGTTTAGTGTTCTTAATTCCAGTTAACATGAGATTGAATCTAAGCATGAGGTAATCTATTCACCTAGGGTTAGGGATTTTGATTCTTGTTTGAATTATGTGGAATGTGTTCTGTTCAATCTATGCGAGTTGTGTGAATTATAGGGTTAGTTGATTGATCACCATTCTAACCTAGTTAATCGACGTTTAGAACCGAGAGGGGAGGCTTTGGTCGATTTAGGCTCGTATAGAGTAGACATGTTCGGAAACGTATTGTCTATGTGTTGCTTGTTTGAATAAGTTTATCATTTATGTATGTGCTCTTGTTACGAAGAGTTATTGAGCATAGGCCTCTAGACGTGTA